AATTTTGTTTTTTTTTTTCAATTAAAAAAATAAAACTACAAATATATAAAGAATATATAAAATATTTCCAATAAAAATACGGCTTTATCCCCCTACTGCTGCCTCCTGTTGCGGTGTACAGGCAGCTCTTCGGTCCGCTCAGGAGCCGCATACACCCCAATAAGTGCTGCTTCAATGCATACAGCGCAAAATAAATAAATATAATATACAATAGACACAATACACACCGCAATATAAATATATATATATATATATATATATATGCATATTAGTACAATATAATGAGTGTACGTACACTGCATACAGTACATATAATACAATACAAGAAATATCAACCCCCGCTAGCCCACAGAGGGACCTAAACCCCCGCGACAAACCATCAGTAAAAGAACAAAACCCTTCAGGGTTTAGGGTTTAGGGTTTAGGGTTTGTGTGCCTCGTACGGTCTGTCTGTTCCTTCTCCCCTTTTCTTTTGTTTCTTTAATAGTTAAGCAACGCCATACAGGCGCAAAAAAACAAACAGATTTACCCTAAACCCTAAACCCTAAACCCTAAAGAGACGGAAAGCATCTTTCTGACCCGTTGGTAGCCCTAGGGTTTAGGGTTTAGGGTTTAGTGTTGAGGGTTTAGTGCTGAGGGTTTAGGGTTTAGGGTTTAGGGTTTAGTTTGTTATGTAAACAACGACAACCGACAAATCCTCATGGACCCCAAACCGATCGTCTTTTGCTTCTTTTTTAATTTGGTTTCACTTCGTTTGTTTTATTTTTTTATTCTTTTTATTATTTTATTTTATTTTATTGTTTTATTTCGTTTTATTTTTTTTGTTTTATTTAATTTTTTTGTATTTTTGTTGTTTGTACCTCCGCCTCGTCAGATGCATTTCGCTGCTTGCTGCCTTCGCCAACTCACGAAGTCTGCTGCTGCTGTTGCTGCTGCTGTTGCTGCTGCTGTTGCTGCTGCTGTTGCTGCTGCTGTTGCTGCTGTTGCTGCTGTTGCTGTTGCTGCTCTTGCCGCTGCTGCTGTTGTTGCTGCTGCTGTTGTTGCTGCTGTCTTTGTTGCTGCTGTCTTTGTTGCTGCTGCTGTTGCTGTTGCAACTGCTGCTGCTGCAGCTGTTGTTGCTGCAACTACTGCTTCTGCTGCTGTTGCAGCAGCAGCAGCAGCACTTTTGCTGCTGTCCCTGCTGCAGCATTTGCTGCAGTTGCTCTTGCTGCTGCTGTCATGTACCAACTACTGCATCGTTTGTGTTTGTGTTTGTTTTTGTTTTTCTTTTATTGCCGCAGGCAGCAGAAGGAAAGAAGTAAGGAAAGAGAGAAAGCTAAGCAACCCAAACAAAGCAGGCCACCCGTATGCTTCGCTCACGGCAGCTGTACATACACCCTAAACACACACACAAACCCTAAACCCTAAACCCTAAACCCTAAACCCTTAAACACTTGACCTAGCCGCAAGACGTAAACCCTAAACCCCTTCAACAAACCCTAAACCCTAAACCCTAAACCCTTATATGATTTGTCGCTTTCTGTTTTTTTGTTTTTGTTTTCTGCTTTCTTCTCTCTTTTTATCTGCGTAGCTTCTTTCTATGCGTTTGGGGTTTAGGGTTTAGGGTTTAGGGTTTAGGGTTTAGGTGTGTATAGACCTGAAGGAGGGCTCCGAAGGCCCCCACAGCGTTGATGAGAGTAGCAACAGCAGCAGCATGTTTGGGGTTTGCTGCTGCAATTGTGATGATGTCTTCTGCTGCAGCAGCACCGAGCACGGCGTCAGGGCCTGCGTTGAATAGGCCCACCAGCAGCAAGCAGCACAGCAGCAGCAGCAGGTTGCTGCTGCTCTGCTGCTGCAGCAGAACTCTTCTGCTGCTTATCTCAGCCCCCAAAGCCTCCTCAGCAGCAGCTTGCTGCTGCAGCAACTCCATCACTGCCTTCTCCTCTTCTTCGCTCATCACTGCCACCTGATAGTTCGCATGCAACTCACCTGCTGCTGCTGCTGCTGCTGCTGCTGCTTCGGTTGCTGCTGCTGCTGCTGGTGCGGCGGGGGAGGGAGCTGCGGTTGTTGTTGTTGCTGCTGCTGCTGCTGCTGGTGTTGCTGCTGCTGCTGTTCCTCCGCTGTCGGCAGCTCCTGCTGCATCCGTTGTATCAGAGGTTGCTGCAGCTGCTGCTGTGTCTGCTGCTGCTGCTGCTGCTGCTGCTGCATCTGCTGCTGCAGCGCCTGTATTGCTGTTTAATTTTCTTTGTTTGTTTTTTGTTTTTTTGTTTTCTTCGTTTTGTGTTGAGGGAAACAAATAACCCGCTAAGGCAAATGGAGAACCAAACATAAACGAAAAAGGCCTCAGATGCCGCTGCTGCTGCTGCTGCTGCTGCTGCTGCTGCTGCTGCTCCAGCTGCTCCTGCTGCTGCTGATCCAGCTGCTGCTGCTGCTGCTGCTGCTGCTCCAGCTGCTGCTGCTGCTGCTGCTGATCCAGCTGCTGCTGATCCAGCTGCTGCTGTTGTTGCTGAGCCTGTTGTTGTTGTTGCTGCTGCTGCAGCTGCTGTTGTTGTTGCTGCTGAGGGATGCCACCTTTGGTGAAAGACAGACGGCGGTTGCCTGCTGCTGCTGTTCTGCTGCTGTTGCTGCTGTTGCTGTTGCTGCTGTTGATGCTGCTGCTGCTGTTGCTGTTGTTGCCGCTATCGGTGTTGTTGTTGTTGTTGCTGCTGTCGTTGTTGTTGCTGCTGCTATCGTTGTTGCTGCTTGCATCTTGCTGCTGCTGCTGCTGCTGCTGCTGCTGCTGCATGTGTTTTCTACGGCGAGCTGCAGCAGTATGTAGCGTGTGTGGTTGTGTTTGTTGTTGATCCTGGGGTGTATGTACACCCCGCGCATCGTTTGTTTCTGTGTATGTTTTTTGTTGTTCTTCTTCTTGTTTAGTATATATATCTAACCACCCCTGCTGCAGCTTTTGTTTGAGTTGTATGCTGCTGAGCTGCCTATACAGCTCAATGTCTTCTGCTGCTGCATTTATTTCTCTCTGCTGCTTCGATGAGAGAACAACAAAAAACAAAGCAACACCTGTTGCTGCTGATAGTGCAGCAGCAAGAGATAGACGGCGGCCTAAAGAAACAGCAGCAGCAGCAGCAGCAGCAACAGCAGCAGCAGCAGCAGCAGCAGCAGCAGCAGCAGCAGCAGC